CAAGAGAAAAGGGGACAGTCACCTACAAAGGAGTCCCCAATCAGACTGTCAGCAGATTTCTCAAAAGAGACCTACCTTACAGGCAAGAATGGGCTGGAAAGAGGTATTCCAAGTCATGAAATCCAAAGACCTACAAGGAAGATTGCTCTATCCAGCAAAACTTTCATTTAGAATGGAAGGACAGATAAAGTGCTTCTCAGATAAGATCAAATTCAAGGAGTTCATCATCACCAAGCCCTTATTACATGAAACGTTAAAGGGACTTATCGAAGAAAAAGAAGTTAAAGAAACATGAACAGTGAAAGGACAACAAACTCACAGTTATTAACAACCACACCTAAAACGAAAGCAAACTAAAAGGACAGCTAGATCAGGAGTGGAAACATAGAAATGAAGATCTCGAGGAGGGTTAGCAATAGGGGAGTGGGAGGAGGAGAAGGGGAGAGAAAGTACAGAAAATAAGTAGCATAGACAGTAGATAGAAAATTGATGGGGGGGGCAAGAATAGTATGGGAAATATAAAATCTAAAGAACCTGAGACACATGGTCATAAACTAAAGGGGGGGTAATGGTGCGGACGGGGGGTAGGGTGGAGGGGAAGGAAGGGGGGAATAGAACGACTGTAATGGCATAATAAAAAAAAAAAAACGAAACAAAACAAAACAAAACTACTCACAAAGAAAAACCCAGTCCCAAATATCTAATTAATTACACTGTTTAAAGATAAATTAACCCCAATCGCTCACAAACCCTTCCATCAATAGAAGAGGGAACACTTCCCAATTCATTTTATATTGGTGTTACCAGACAAAAAGAAAACTACAGACCAATGTCTCCCATGAATACAAATGCAAAAAAATGCTTAAAAATATATTAGCAAATATTTCAAGCAATACATAAAAATAATTATATACCATAACCAAGTAGGCTTTATTCCAGGAATGCAAAGCTGGTTCAATTTTCAATTGACGTACCATATTAACAGGCTAAAAAAAACATTACATGATTATATATCCTAAAATAAAAGAAGTCAATAACAATAAAGAATTCAACAAAATTTAACACCCATATATGACAAAGACTTTCACAAAAACAGGAATAGAAGGAAAATTTTTCAACTTGATACCTACAGCTAAATTTTTTGGATTTAAGGCCATGCTGAGAGTTCTTGGATTGGCACCAACTGCATGACTCATTTTAGGAAAAAGTGAAAATTTGGACCTTATTAAAATTAAAAACTTTCTCTGCAAAGTCCATGTAAAAGGGATAAAAAGGCGAGTACAGACTGGGAGAAAATATTTTCAAACCACATATCCACAAAATGGCTAGGATCTAGAATAATGAACTCGTAAAACTCAGCAGTTAAAAAACCAAACAGTCCATGCCCTGGCTGGTGTAGCTCAGTGGACTGAGCACAGGCCTGTGAAGCAAAGGGTCATGGGTTCGATTCCCAGTCAGGGCACATGCCTGGGTTGCAGGCTGGGTCCCCAGTAGGGGACACACGAGAGGCAACCATACACAGATGTTTCTCTCCCACTCTTTCTCCTTCCCTTCCCCTCTCTCTAAAAATAAAGAAATAAAATATTTTAAAAAACCACTTCAATTAGAAAATAGTCAAAAGCACAAACAGATCATTCGTTCACCAAAGAGAACACATTAGATGGAAACAGATAAGTAAGGGGAAAGGTGTTCAACATCATCAGCCTGTAGGGGAATGGAAAGTAAAAGCACAGGGAGGTACCACTCTGCACCAAATGTACAAAATAGTGAAAGCTGGCAAGGATGTGGGTCACTTAGACACTGCTAGCGGGAATGCAAAATGGTCCAGCTACCTTGGAGAACGGGTTGGCAGTCCCTTAAACAAATAAGCAAACAACTGCCACATGATCCAGCTATTTTACTCCTGGGCATTTATCCCAGAGATATGAAACTCATGTTTACACAAAAACTCATACAGGAACATTTATAACAGGTTTATTAGTAATAGCTCAAAACTGGGGGGAGAAAACAACCAAGCGTCTTTTAATGGGTGAGTGAATGGTTAAACAAGCCATGAGATGTCTGTGCCGTCATCCAATACATAAACCTGGATGAATCTCCAAAAAAAATTGCATTGCATGGGAAAAAATCAAAAAGGTTACCTACTGCATTATTCCAATTTTAGAAATGGAAAACAGAGAAGTGGTTTCTAGGGGGAGGGGTGTCAAAGGGAAGTAGGTGGAACTATAAAAGGGAAATAAGCGGGATCCTTGTGGTGATGGAGATGCTCCGTATCTTGAGTGGGGCAGTGTCGATATCCTGGTTGCGATACTGGACTGAAGTTTTGCCAGATGTTAACAATGGGAGAAACTGGGCAAAGGGTACCTGGGATCTGCCTGTCTTATTTCTTCCCACTGCGTGTGAATCTGCAGCTGTCTCCAAATGGACATTCCGATTTTAAAAATTATTCTTGTTCAAATGATCAAGGTTCACAAGTAGGAACAGACACTTGCTGCCCATAACTGACAAAGGCATGGAGCCGGAATATACAAAGAGCTTTTCTGAGCCAAGAAAAAGTCAGACAACTCAGTGGAAAAGTAGAGGAAGGTTTGAACAGGTGCTTCACAAAACAAAATTCAAGTCGTCTATACACACATGTCAAAGGGCACCACCTTATTAGAAATTGGGGGTGTGAAATGGAGGATCACAATTTGATAACCACTATACATCTACCAGACCGATAAAAATGAAGAAGTGGGCAAAATCCTTGCCAAAATCCTTACATTTTAGCAAGGATGTGGAGCAACTGGAATTTACCACCTATCTCTGGTGGAACTGTAAAATTTGGCAGGCAATTTGCTATTATCTAATGAAGGTGTATAGGCACACCCTATAGCCCAGCAATTCTACTGCCAGACACACACCCTGAAAAGTTGGCACTTGCATACTGGGCGATAGATACAAGAACCTTATTAGCAGTATTATTTGTAATGGCCCCAACTACAGCTGCATACAACAAAAACAGATGACCTCACACACTTAACCAAGTGAAAGAGGAGGCCAGGAACAACACGCACACACACACACACACACACACACACACACACACACACACTTGTGCTAGATAGTAAAACTAAACTGTCATGTTTAGGGATGCTTACCCATTTTCTAAAACCCTAAAGCTATAGAAGTGGTAATTACTATGAAGTGAGGCTTGCTATGAAGTGGTACTGCAAAGCGGTTGCTTTAGAGGGAAGGGAAGGACTGTTTGAGGAAATTGGGGGCAGGGGAGGCCCTGGGGTGGTGGCGATGACCTGGGTGCTGATCACCCAGTTTTGGTTCCTGATGTTGGGCGAGGCTGGCTGCACATGAGTCTCGTCTTCACTTTCCATGTGACACACCTCTTCGTGTTTCGGTTTTGTCTTTGAGAAGAAATGAAGCGAAGGAGGAATTGGGTGTGAAGTTGGGCTGAGTGAAGAGAGGCAGCACATGCAAATCCGAGGTCGCAGTGAAAAACCTGTGATGACACCTGTGATGACGGAGAGGAAACAAGTGGAGCATGGAAGCCACCGGTAAACCTGCTGCAATGGCGAGGGGGCGGGTAGCTTGCCTCCGGGTGGTTGCTTTGTTTTTTTTTTTTTAAACGAGCAAACATGCAAACAAACGGTGCCTTAGGAATAACACGGGTTGCTCCAAGTGCTCCATTTTGGACTTCCTCTACTTTACAAGTTGGGCCTGGGCTGAGGGACCGAGGTTTTGTTTTACTTTGTGTTGTTTTGTATTTATTGGCACATTAGACCATTGACTTGCAACCAACCTGCCGACTCTCCGGGGTACGAGAAGGAAAACATCTGGTGTGAACACAGCTCTTTGTCTGAGCATTGCCCTGGGACACCCCGTTTCTCCCCCCTACGCCCCTGCCCTCAGTCCAGCTGGGGTTGGAGGGCCGGCGCGGGCAGGGAAAAGTCCCCCACGGAGATGCTTTGGAAGTGCCCAACAGCCACAGCTTCCTTCCACCTCGTCCGGTGCTGTTCTCCAAGCAGACGGAGGTCAGAAATTGTCGTTAGGGGTATAGAACAGAAGCCACCGGCAGACTTAAAATATTGTGAAGGGCTGATTTTAGACAAGAAATCCAGAGCGCCGTTACCTGGCGGTGGGGGCAGGGAAGGGCTCCAATTCTCCTTTCCCGCCAGATCTCGCACCCCAGCTCCGATGACACACGGTCTGCCTCGCCACGAGGACGGGCTGCCCCTCAATGGCGGGGACAGCAGGTGGCATTGGGCTTCTGGGGACGCGCAGGCCGGACACAGGAGAATATGTGAGCCTTCCCAGGCAAAGTCCGGAGGGGACAGCGACATACCCTGGTCCTTGTGCTTGCGGGGCTTCCCGTGCGGGACCGACCCCTGTCCCAGGCGTTCGCAGGGCGCCTGACTCCGAGTTTCTTGGGCAGAACGGCAGTGGAGCTGAAGGAAGGCTCTTCCGAGGCACCAGCCCGCGCCGCGGTTGCATCTCTTCCCCTCGCCCTCTCTCGTGGGCAGTTCTCCCAGGACCGGGGCCAGCGCCAATCAGGTCGCTCGGCGCTCGCCCCCAGCACCGGCCACCTGGAGGGGCGATGAGGTTCTCGGGCCGCGCGCGCGGCCGGGACTCGGGACTCGGGGACTCCAAGCGCCACCGCAGCCCCGGGAAGGACGCGAGCGCAGACCCGGCGGGAGCCGCGGCCGGCGCAGAGCCGCTCAGCCTCGGTAACGGGCTGGGGTGCTCCTAGGCCCCCGGGCTCCGCAAAGGGAGGAAAAGGAGGGAGGGGCGGGCCGAGGGTGCCGTGGGGCACCAGGCTCCCTGCGTGCGTGGATGTGCCCGGCCAGGGCGTACTTTTGAGGGCGGCTCTGCACCGAGTAAGCGCCTCGCCTGCCGCCTCCCACCGCGCATCTCGCTCAGGACTTTAGCGCCGGCGGGCGGGGGCGCCACTGCGGGGGCTCTCCCACTTCGCGCCAGCAAGCCACTGGCTCTGAGGGGCGCGCCTGTGCTGGGGGAGGTGGGCGAGTCTGGCCTGGAGGCCAGGCTGCAGGTTGCGATGTCCCCGCCTCCCGGCAAGACTCTCCGAGTCCCTGCCCCGGAGCGCGCGGTAATCTCTTGCCTCCACCCCGCCTTGCGGATCTGCCCAGCGGCGCCTTCCTCCTGCCGGGCCCCACACGGACGTGGCTGCTGCGCCTCGGTGCCCACGACCACCCGAGGACAATGCAGTGGCCGGAGCGCGATCTCCGGGCGCGCGTGAGTGAGGGGCGCGGGGACCCTCATCAGTCTGGGCGGCCAGTTTGGTCCGAACGTGTGGTTACCTCTGGACCCACCTGGCCACCGCAGCTCGGTTTGCGGGTGATTTTCCTAAAGTTGTGCACAATAAGGAGGGAGGGGGTGCATGGGCGGGGTGGGGTCCGCATCTCTGCCTGTGTGTGGGGGTCCAGAGCAGAGACAGCGGGCGCATCCTCCTGAAGCCCCAGAGCTGGCGGCGCGCAACCCCATCCGGTGGGGCCGATTTGGCCAGCGGGGGTCACAGCACCGACCACAGCAAAAATCGCTTCTCAGTGGCCTTGGAGGAGGATTTGACCCAAGTAGAGAGTCCAGGGAGCGAGCAGAAAGCACTGGAATCAGCCTCATGTTCTGCTGCTCGCGTCCCCTTCACCCCAAATCTGGCCCTGATGGGGCGAAGTAAGTGGGGGGCTCCCGCAGGCCGCCCGCAGGGGTGGCTTCCTGCGTCCCCCAAAGCAGCGAGAGAGGAAGGGGTGGCGATGTCTTCTCCATCAGCGCCCTTGGGCAGCATACACCACCGATGTTTTTCTGCCACATTCGGGCATTCCTTTTCCCTGGGTGGGTTTGTGGGGACCTGGAAGTCTGCTTTTCTAGCAACTTTGGGGTATTGGGGCAGGTATGCAGTCCGGAGTCTGGGCCTGCCGGCCGTCAGTCAGCTAAAATGCTTTCTCCTGTCCCCAGCCCTGGCCCACGCTCAAGGCCTGGCTGGAGGGCAAGATCTGGGAGGAGGAGGAGGAGGAGGAAGAGGGCCGCATCGGCAGGGCTCAGGGCTCCCGAAGAGGCTGCCAGCTGTAACTGGCAGGGGCTGACTTCCCTCCGCTACCTCCTCCAATGTCAAACCCAGACTCGCAGTTTATGCGGGGGCGTGAGAGACAGTGATGGGGGGCCTTGAGACCCCACAGGGTCACTCTGCCAGAGATTCGCTGGGACTCGGTCTTCTGTGGGACAGGCACTTGTTCTGGGTGCTGGTCAACTTCCCCTGAGTACATTCAGATGCTGCCCCTTTCCTCCAAGGGGAAGACAGAGCAAATGAATAGTCTCTGAAAATGCTTATACTTTCTCAGCTCTCCCTCCTGGGTTCCAGCTCCCATCCCTGAGAGGACCTAATGCAGCATATTATAGAGGTGGGGGGTCATGTGGGCACCCAGGCAGGAACTACAGTGTGCTCCCGAGGTTCAGTCGGGACATGGGCTGGGTCAGCAAGCGTAGCTTCTGCTCTCACATATGGCTATGGCTGTGACTTGTACATCCTGGGGGAGAAAATGAGACAGGACCAGGTGTGAGTGGGAAAAGCCTCTGAAGTCCTTTGGGGTGTGTGTGTGGGGGGGGCACATGCATGCATCGAAACCTTAGTTTCGGGCATCACTGGTATTCCTACCAGACCTAGAAATCTGTGTTTTGTGATCTCGTGGAAAATTGTGCTTGGGAAAGGCTTTGGTGCTGGTGCTAATGAAGGCAAGTCCCTCCCTCAGGTTTTGCCCAAGGATTCCTGTCTCGTCTCCAGCTTGCCCATCTGTAATTGGACATGAGAGAGCTCTGCTTAGTACAGAGAGCGCCTCTGCCTGAGTCAAACATCACCTGGAAACGGGAGATCCTGGCGCAGGCTCACCCGGCACCCCAGGCACAGGGAGGGGTTTCTGGGAGAGCTCCTGCGAGCTTGGGAAGGGTGCTGGGGCAGATCAAAGGATGAGCCGGGCATCCTCTGGGTAACTTCTTACAAGAGAATGATTTGGCCTTGGCTTGGTTCCCCCCAGGTCTTGCCCATTGTGGAAAGTGCCCTGAGGTTTAGGATCTGGCCTGATGCTTATTTACACTAAAGACAGGTGCTGCCACGTATTAAGTGCCTTCTAAGTGCCAGACACAAGGCTTTGTGAAGTCAGTATTATTATCCCCGTATATCACATGAAGAGACTGAGTTTGGGAGAGGTTAAGTAACTTGCTAAGATCATTAAGTTGAGCTTGGAATGCAGACCTCTCTGGTTCCAAAGTCTCAGCTCCTTCCACAGAGCTGCTTCTATCCTCCCATGAAGAACAGACACACAGGCAGTAGCTGGAAATCCAGAGCCGTTGTGAATGAGATTTGTGATTTGTAGGCACAAGGCATGTCTGTGACCCCACTAGACTTCAGGAATCATGCTGGCCTAGGAAATGAACGCTCTTCATTCCCCGTTGGGCTCAGGGGTTTAATCCACACCCAGAGCTCAGTTCCCTCACACGGAGAATACTACTTCTGTAACACTCACTTACCAAACTTTCCTGTACTGCTGGTGTGAGAATAAATTGGTACAGCTTCTCTGGAGGGCATCCTAGAGACACCTCTCAAAATTTGAAATGCCCGTGCTATTGACCCAGGGGTTCTGATTTCAAGAATTTAACTTGCTGTTATGCTTGCCTGGGGGCATAAAGACACACGTACAGTTAGTATTGTCTGAGCTGCGGAAGGACAAATTGCATGTTCAGCACCAAGGGGCTAGTCAAGTAGCTGCTGGTGCTTCCAGATAGTCACATACTGTCCTATTCACCCATAAAAAAAAGGAGCAGGAGAAACTGACTCTGAAACTGGCATGGCACAATTTCCAAGGTCCATGGCTAAGTAGAAAACACGCGTGGAGCATGTATAACGTGCTGCTGTTCGTGGAGGAGGAAGGAGAGTTCCAAGCTGTTTGCTTGTCAGTGTGAGTAACTATGTACACAAGACCGAGTCGTATCTGTTGCCTCCAGGGAAAGTGGACCCGTAAACCCTTCGTATCTTTCCAATTTCAAACCACATGATTACATTAACTAGTTTGAAAAATCCTCTCCTTGCTCTGTGCCTGACGCTTCTCTTGAGCTCCTCTCCAGCTAGATGGTGTGCAGTCACCCCTACCCCAAACTGCTTGAGCGGTTCCCACCGGAATAAAAGCCAAAGCGCTGTGTGACCGCTCAGGACCCATAGTATCCAGCCATCCAAAATCCCTTTCAATATGCAGGCTCAGAAAGCCGGGTGGAGGGGGTGTTCTTAGACCTCTCTGTAGACAAGATCTGCTCCTCCAGCTTTGAAAGCAAGATGGAGAAATGGAAACCACCCCTGTTTTTATTGCCCTAATGTTCCCTGTGCAGGCTGAGCCTCAGGGGCTGGAGGGTGTCAGTAAGGGCACAAGAGGAGCACTGCGGTTGGGCACCTGACAGGGCGGAAGGTGTGTTGGAAGCTTCATTTCTAGTGTTGTGTTTGGGCAGAAAGAGAGATACACTTGAAAGAAAAGGTTTGGAAATCATTCTGGGGTCGAGGGCTCTATTGCCCCCGAGGAGGAGCGAAGGTTATTTATGTGAATTGTCATGCCATCAATCAGTGGGTCCCTGAATGCCCCTTTGGGTGCTTTTCATGAGCACAGATGCCGGGCTCAGGTGTCTGACCCTCCCCCCTCCTCAAGGATTCCCTTCTGTTGATCATTCATCCTGGAGACCAAGGGGATGGAGGCAGGTGTCAGGCACTGCTGTCCCGCCCTCAGGTAGGACAGGCTGTTCTGGAGCAGAAGCAGTGGAGGAAAGGCTTGCTTCCAGCCACATGCCATGGGGCTCCCCCTCACTGCTAGGTGGTTAGCTTTTGGGGGGAGGGTTCTCTGTTGCACTTATTTTGCTAAGCCCTCTGCCTGCATTATGTCATTTAATCTCTAGATCGGGTAGGTGGGGGAGCCCAGGCTCATTGCCATCCAGCAACAACGCCTTTCTGCTCTCCCTTCAGTGACTCTTCTGTCCCCTGCACATTAACCTGCAGCAAGGCATGGTGGCATCACACAGATGCTCACAGACTCGGCTGGGGTATAGCAGCACATGGCCGAGTATTTTGTGCTTTGGTGGATGATCTGGGACCTTGGCATTCCAGTAAGTTTGCACAAGGCATGGTCCAGGGACAGAGCAGTCAGCCTCCTGGGTTTGGATTTCCGTCTCTCTCTGCCTCTGTCTCTGTCTCTGGGTGTGTGTTGAGGGCTGGGCTGAACGGACTGCGTGTGGGGTGATTCCCCGGGGTTGGAGAGAGGGAAGGAGCGGTTGCCTCTGTGCTGATGAGGCCCTGTATCTGCACCCCAGGAGCAGGGTGAGCAGGGTGGTCCACGAGCCCCAGATCTATGCTGGGAGTCTCTCTGCTGTTGGGGAAAAACAGCCTGAGAGCGGAGCTCAGTGCAAACCTTTCTCCTCCCACGCAGCTCACCCGCTGGGGTTCACCTCTGACTCCCATTCTGCTTCAAAAAGAAACAACTTGGATATTTTCCCCCAAATAAATTCTGGAGCACACGAGGCAGCTGCTTGTTCTGCACGCTGCTGTTGCCCACAGCAGCGAAAGCAAAGACGCTAGACCTGGCTCTCGGCTCCAGCTGCCATAACGAGCCAGGAGCAGGGAGGCCAGATGCCCCAGCTATTTTTTGTTAGAGTCAACTTATGACACAGAAAGTGTTTACATACTGTACTGGTAGGGAGTGATTGGTGTAACCACTTCTATTTGGAAAATAATCTGTTGTTCCAAGCACTGGGTGGGCAGAAAGACACACACAACAGCACGGCCCTGAGTTGCCCAGAGGCAGGGTGGGGGAGGACCGTTCACAGGGCCTGCAGGGCTCTGCAGAGAACAGGAAACGCTGGGTGGAGGTACCAGCAACGTGCTGGCTCGTGCGGAGGGGCTAAGGTGAATCAAAGGCTGCCCCTGGTAGATTAGTAAGGTCCTATTGGAGGAGGTGAGTTTCTTAATTGGGCCTTGAAGGTTAAGTAGCATTTTGATAGACAAACTCAGTAGAAGTGGCTAAGAGAACAGCTTGGGCAAAGGTACAGGGTTACAATAGAATAGAAAGTATTATAATGGAGTAATATAAAAGTAAATTAATATCAGTAAATGCCATTACTTACCCAACTTCTGCCACAGACATAATACATGGTATTTTTAGATACCGTATTTCACTGTGTATAATATGCTCCCATGTACAGTGTGCGCCCAT